GGGGGGGGGCGGGGGGGGAAAGGGGAACTGAAGAAAAAGACTTGTTTACGATGAAAATAAGCTCACTGACGTTGACCTGTGTACAGGAACATGCTGGGCCTTCCGCATCTGGCAGTCTGGAGCATGCAGATCCAGAGTATGCAAAAGCCCCCCTTTCACGATCTGCATGCAGACGGAGATGGTGGTTAGAAAAAGGGCGCTACCTTTGCCTCTGCTCGTCGTCCTCTCTCTCTTTCTCTCGCTCGCTCGCTCGCAAAGGCGCTCTTATTTTGTAGCTCTTTCTCTCTCTTTTCTGTTTGACGATATATGGACACGATCTCTAGAAACTGATTAGAATCATAATGACATACACTCCCTATGTTTGGGTGTCTTTTCAGATGCTCTGTGTCATCCTTGTCGAGGAGGCAGGCTTTGGCTTCTGAGCCGTTGCATTACTTGTTCTGTAGATCGACTCTCTTCTTGACAGTTGTCTGTACGTCGATTACGTCATCATCCTTTTAAGAATTATGCCCCGTTGCCAGCTTGATGATGGTACGTTTCCCAGGCATCCTTTAAGTATTATGCCCCGTTGCCACCTTGATGATGGTACGTTCCCAGGCTGGGCCATCAACTGTGGGAGCGCCCGAGTGGTGCCAGCGACTACAAGTGGCCTGCAAAGATCAACGATATGACGAAATGTTGGTTGATTGATGTTCGGCACTGTGTGCCGAATAGGAAATCTCATCTGTGTGCACAAAAAATGGGCTCGGCTCGGTAGAGGCGGCGAGGAATGTTGTGGGGTTGGCACGAAGGCCATGGTAGAGTGAGCACCGTCTTCGGCGGAACGGAACCCAGGTTCATACTATCTCCATCGGGTGCAGGTTTAGTGTCCAGGTAGAGTTATCATGAACGGGTAACACGTTTCAAATGGGGAAACCCAGAAGGAGGGAGCTGTGGATAAGGGTGGCTGCTAAGGTGGGGGAGCAGTCAGGGAATGTGATGTGTGTGAATGGATGACTACTGTCTTGCCCGGAACATAA